TGAATAATGAATTTTGGATGTTAGACCATTAGGACTCATGGCTACTTCCGTAAAGATGTACAGCCTTAGAAATCCTAGGGAACAATTCTCCTCTGTGCTATAATGTCACTGTGAGTTGGAATCAGCTCAGTGGCAGTGGGTTTGGAGTGAGTTGGATTAAACGCCTGTCAGATATATGGTTACCTAAAATTTTCTCCCAATCAATAGATTGTCTCTTAAGTTTGTTGGTGAATCAATCCCTTTGTTATACAAAAGCTTTTCATTTTGATGACGTCTGATACAACTTCTTCTCACTTATTGCCTATCTCATTATGTAACATATTGCATTTGCTGCTGTTAAGTGCCATTGAGTCAGTTCTGACTTATAAAACAGGGTTTCCAAGGCTGTAAATCTTTACAGGAACAAATTCTCTTCTTTCTTCCACAGAGCAGTTGGTGGGTTCGAACTACCGACCTCATGGTTTGAAGTCCTACAGAACCTCCACACATTTATGACAATAGTAAAATAAAAATATCTATTTTTCTACTGTTTTGCACATTAACAACTTATGTCTGATAGTAACAAATTCCTGTTCCTTCTGAGAACCCTGTCTGAGTCCTCAGCCCATTTTCTATTTGCATACAGAAAGGTAATAGTATTTTACTGCCCAGGAGGGGCGAGGGGGCATGAACTAACTACTGGGTTCTGAGAAGTGGGGCTGGAGTGAGGTCAGCAGGACAGAACACTCCCTAACTGATTGGGTGGCCAAGGGAGCTAAGGTCGGGGCAACAGTAGCCAGTGACCTGAAGGTAGGCCACTCGGGGCCAGACAGGAAGTGGAACCCCAGAATCTGACCCAAGCTCCCAAAGGGCAGGAAGGATTGGCCAGGCAGCTGTCAGAAGAAGCCTTGAGATGGATATTCAAATGCCTGGTATCCACAGGACTCCGTGTCAGTTGATCAGCACCTTTGTAACACCTCAGTACCCCATCCTGGGTAGACACAGGTGAGGATCAAGCAGACTAGGTGGGAGGTGGGAGTGAGGTCAATGAGTGAGTGGCAAGCAGCATCTGTAGTTTAAGGTTAAGGGCAGAGGCCAGACCTGGTCATTGCAGCCTCAGAGGAAGCTCAGACTTGTTGATTATCATGATGTGAAAGTGAGAGGGGCTGACGGGAAACCCAGTGGGTAGTGTGCACCACCCCTGCAGCATCCAGGTCCTCACGCTCATTATCACAACATCTGTGCCAATCTATCTCACTGAGGGTCTTCCTCTTTTTCTCAGACAATCTAACTTTACTAAGCATAATGTCCTTCTCCAAAGATTGGTCCCTCTGATAAAATGCCTTAATGTATGTGAGACAAAGTCTTGCAATCCTCACTTCTAAGGAGCATTCTGACTGTACTTCTTGCGAGACAGATTTGTTTATTCTTCTAGCACCCCATGATATATTCAATGTTCGCCACCAACACCATAATTCAAGTGTCAATTCTTCTTCAGTCTTCCTTATTCATTGTCCAACTTCCACTTACATATGAGGTGGTTGAAAATACCATGGGCAAGTGCACTTTAGTCCTCAAACTGACACCTTTGACTTTTAGCACATTAAAGAAATCTTCTACAACAGATATGTAATTTAAAAAAAAAATTTTTTTTTAAAGCAGACTATGTTATTGCTAAGTGCCGTCGAGTCATTTCTGACCAATAGCAACCCTGTATAGGGTTTCCTAGGAACAACTGGTGAACTTGAAACGCCAACCTTGCAGTTCAAATGGCTATAAAGTCTGGTGCATTAACCCACAGTGCCACACCAGCAAAGCAGGCTATAGAATCTAGAAAATATTCCCAGTATGGTGGCACTGTGGGATAATGCACTGGACCGTAAGGTTGGTTTGAACCACAAGGTTGGTGGTTCAAATTCACCAGCAGCTTCTTGGAAACCCTGTATGAGGTCACTATGAGTCAGAATCAACTCAAATGCACTTGACAACAACATATATGAAGAAGGATTTGTATTCAGTGTATATTAAGAAAAATAACCTAATTCTAAAATATGCAAATCATTTGAAAAGATACTTAGTAAAAGAAAATGAGTGAATGGCCAGTAAACTCAAAAGAATGCTAAAATTTTTGGTCATAAGGGAAAAGTAAATGAAAACCACCAAGAAATAATACTTCCTACATTGAAGGTTTTTGACATGAAGTTTTTGGCAGCCATGGGCTGTCGAAAGAACCAATAGATCCATTTTGGAAGAAGTGCAGCCAGGATGGCCAAACTTCATCTCTCATACGTCGGACATATTGGCAGGAGGAACCAGTCACTGGAAAAGGACATTATGTTTGGTAGGGCAGAGGGTCAGAGAAAAAGAGAAGGACCCCCAACAAGATGGATTAGCCAAGTGGCAGCATCGGTGGACTCAAGCATGGCAACAGTAGTGAGGTTGGCCCAGGATCGGGCAGTGTTTCATTCTGCTGTGGGTCAGTACGGACTTGATGTCATCTAACAACAACAACACATTGAAATGGTTACATTTTAAAAGTTAACTGTTTTTCCTTGGAGAGAATGTAGAGCCAATTAGAACTCTAGTATACTGTTGATTGGAATCTAAAATAATTTAACTACTTTGTAAACTTTGTGGCAACTTTCCACAATGTTAAACAATACTGAAACCTGTAAGAGCCAGAGTTTCACAGGACCGCTGTGTTGTTCCAGTTCTGGCAGGTTTTCTGTCATTGAAGGGGCATTCTTGCCACTTTCCTGTCACTCTTTTTAGTGCAAAATATTTGAGTTTTCCCTTTTATCTTAGTTATCTAGAACTGTTTTTAACAGAAATACCACTGGTGGATGGCTTTAGCAAGCAGAAATTTATTCTCTTACAGTTTGTGAAATTAAAAGTCTGAATTCAAAACACTGGCTCTGGAGAAAGGTCGTTATTAGCATCTGTTGGTGCAGCATTCCTCATGAAATCTACATGTGTCTTGGCATCAATCTTTCCCTGGATCTAGGAGTTTCACAGTGCAGGGACCCCACTGAAAGACCCAATGATCTTTTTCTTGATGGCAGTAGATCCCTCTCTCTGTACTCACTGCTCTCTCCTTTTATCTCTTGTAAGATGAAAGGTGTTGCAGGTCACATCCCTGGGAAACCCCTTTACATCAGAACAGTGTTATGATGGGATTAAGGGTATTGCAGCCCACTCTTAAGGAGCTCTGGTAGCGTAGTGGTTATGAATCGGGCTGCGAACCTTAAGGTCAGCGGTTCGAAACTACCAGCTGCTCTGTGGGAGAAAGATGAGGCTTTCTACTCCCGTAAAGATTTACACCCTCGGAAACCCTGTACAGGGTCACTATGGGTTGGAACCGACTCGACGGCACTTAACAACAAAACAACTTAATTCTCTTATTGATTTCTAGCATCAGATCCCATCATAGGGAATCATCACATAACTGCCACCTTACTTCATTACGTAACTGCCAAACCACTGAGAATCATGACCCAGCCAAGCTGACACTTATTTTGAAGGGACACGCTTCAATCTATGATATTCCAATGAGAATTCATGTCCTTGATACATGCAAAACACTTTCAGTCCATCATATCATGCCAAAAGTCTGCCAAAATACAATGGTGGAATAGGCACAAGGCTGACATTTCCATTACAAACAAAAGTTGGAGGGGAAAATGGAATAACGGGCAGCAAATAAGCTAATCACCCAGCAGAAAATTTATAGTAGCTCTCAAAGCCTGAAAAGAAATCGTCTATTCTTTGAGCCCACCTAAGCAGTGGCCTTGCTCTAGGTGTTGGCCATGCTCTCTGGATTCTTGGTGGAGGCCCCTGGACCTTGGGTTTCAGCTCTGCCTTCCAGTCCCACTAGAGTGGCAACTCTGCTTCCGCTACTTTGGACCCCATTTTCCTAGTGCTCTTGAGTGGTGACCCACCCCCACCCCCTTTTGGCCCTGACAAACATTCTTTTGCTCCCTCAGACATGGCAGCCCCACCCCTTAGCTTTGGGCTATGGCCCCATCTTGATGGTAGCCCCACACATTCCAGAACCTAGTTAGTGAAGACACAAGTCTTTGAAACCTAAGAAACTGTGGCCACACCCTTAGAACCCTAAAAGGCCGTGGATTCAGCCTTTGAGAATCCAGAGGTCATGGCCCTACCTTTTGAGATCAAAGCAGCTCTGCTTCCCAGATGACTTGTTTCTTAGCTTCTGCTCCCTGCTTCCTTGGTCTCTTGAAGAAGTCAGCATGGTCTAAGTTCTGCTTGAGCAAGTGTTACAAAGCTCTGTAGCTCTTCCAATAAGTGCCTAGAGGCACCCTACTCCTCCAGTACACTCAGCTCTTAACTTCACAGATAACTGCCCAGACTGCGAGGAAGCCTCCTGCTCTCTTGCTCTATGGGTCAGCTCCTGTGATAACTTGTGTTGGTCCCTCTGGCTCCCCTGCTGCAGTTTCTTTGCCACTGCTTCTTACCATCTGGTTCATATCTAGTGTTAAAGTCTCCTCACTTCCTTCTCAGCCATTATCATAATTGCCTTTAACATCTATAATTCCCCCAAATAGTCTCTTCTAGGCAATGTAGGCCTTTACTGTTGGGCATGGGATTAGCAGCTCAGTGCTTAACCTACTGAGTCTCTTGTATTAGTCCTTGTTTACCTTTTGTTGTAGTTAACTTGTATATTTGCTTGATTTTGTTTTTCTCAACAAAGGTTGGTTATTACTTTGTAATTTAAGGTTGACATCTCCAATACCTGTCCTTCTTAGATCAGAAAAAAATTCACAGTATGTACCCAGTTATATATATATATATATGACATTTGGATAATGCTTTAAAGTATAAAGGTTGACAGTTTTAACCATAGCTAAATGTTAACCAAAGAAAGCAATGTTTATGGTACACAAGAAGTAAGTATAACTTATCAGTGAAGTGAAAAGATAAAATAATACTCAGGACTTAAATTTTCTAATATAGCTGAGAATCCCTACTTGACCTCCTACCTTCTCATAATTCTTCAACAGGACTTCATCGACTTAACTGAAGAAGACAGACCAAGGGCAAAAGATCGTAATGAACTCTGTGTTATCGACCTAACAAGAACCGAGGAAGAAAACAGGCCAATTGCCACTCTTGACTTGACTCTAGAACCTGTTGCTCCTTCCCAGAAGGAATCAACTAGTCTTCAGACATGTGCCAACCCCTCCAGCAAAGAGGCATTAGAAGGGCGAGTAGACAGAAGCTCTTGGCCTGTGGCACGGAGAATCGTTAACAATGATCCTGTGGATTTGGACCTGTTGGAAGAGACCAGATTTGAAGGTTCCCAGCTCCCCACATCCATCAATCAGGACTCTATTTATCCAGCAGAGCCAAACTGTAGTTCAACAGCATTCAAAGGTGATCTCAGCTTCTTGGCAAACCTACAGCTGACTTCAGATGTTCACTCTCTCTCCCCAACAAGCAATAATAGTAACAGCAATCAAAGGGCACCCTTGCCATGCCCACAGCAAGATGTGCCTTGTCCACCACAAGCCTTGCCATGCCCACTGCGAGCCTCACCATGTCCTCCACGAGCCTCCTCCTGCCCACCACGAGCCTTGTCATGCCCTCCGCAAACCATGCAGTGCCGACCACAAGCCTTGCCTCGCCTGCCTCAAGAAGTGCCATGCCCTCCTGAAGAAGTGCCCTGCCCTCCGAATGGACTGGTCCCTCAGCTGGATAAACCAAGTCCACCTCAAGACTTAGTGTGGCCTCCTCAGCTCTCACCAAACCCACCTCAAGATTCACTCTGCCCATCTCAAGATTCTTTGGGCCTACCTCATGATGTTCCAGGCACATCTCAAAATATATATCCACAGAATGTGGCATGCCTGCGAGATGTGCCACAGCCACCTGGGGATATGCTACATTCACCTGGAGATGTTCCACAGTCTCCTGGAGATATGCCAATGTCACCACATGATGTGCCACAGTCACCTGGAGATATGCCCATGTCACCAGAAGATGTGCCACAATCACCAGGAAGTATGCCACACCCACCAATAGTTGAACCACATTTACCAGGAGATGTGCTCTGTCCCTCTGGAGATGTAGCACGCCCACTTGGAAGCCTGCCTAACTTACCACAAGACAAGCCTGACTTGCCTCAGAATGATCTACAGAACAGTGATGCTCCTATGGTTGTCTCTACCCCATCCTCTCGGAGCTGCTCTCCCAGTCCACAGCCTCTGCAGCCTCCACAGCCTGAAACTCCCTTAGAGAGAGTTTCTTGGCTCTCTGTCCTGGATACCCAAGCCAGAAAATCGATATCACTGTCAGAGCCTACCAAATTTGGGTCTGTCCAGGTCCAATCACAAATCCCACAAGGCAGGCTGACCACCAGACCATGCCTGCATAGACTGAAGTACTTCTTACGTCCTCCGATACATCACCTCTTCTTCCAGACACTGATACCAGATAAAGATACAAGAGAGGTGAGCTACCATTTCTTATCCTAAAGATTGGGGGTCTTGAGTATGATTACAATCCATGCATGGGAGGGTAGGCCCAGTACACACCATACAGCCAGTGGGATACAAATTTCAGCCCCACACTTAAAACACTGATACTGTGCAAGTCACTTTACCTATCTAAACCCCAGCTTTCCTATCTGTAAAATATGGATAAAAACCTATCTCACCAGACCATTAAATGAGATAACATGTAAAGTATCTATTAGAGTGTCTGGCTCATCACAGGACATCATCAGAGTCTTGTCTTCATCAGTTCCTAGGCCTTTCTCTTCCTGGTACCCTTATCTCATCTCCCAGATATATCACAGAGATAACAATGTTCTTGACACCTCAGCACCTCCAAAACTGTTACTCGCTGTTGTTGTTGTTGTTGTTAGGTGCCATCGAGTTGATACCGACTCATAGTGACCCTATGCACAACAGAACGAAACACTGCCCAATCCTGGGCCAACCTCACAATTGTTGCCACGCCTGAGCCCACTGATGCTGCCACTTTGCCAATCTATCTCGCAGGGGGTCTTCCTCTTCTTCTCTGACCCTCCACCTACAGGGAGGAAATTCCATTTGACGATTTTAGGAAGGATGCTACTTCCCATTGATCCTTGATCTATGAGGACTAAGCCAGGTGTGTAAGTGGGAAATGTGTGGCTAAATCCCATGCTATGAAGCTACTTGTTCATTAGCAACAACATCATCCTCAACATCAAGAAGACTAGACTGAGGTAGTTCAAAAGGTCAAAAGATGCATTTCCCATTGAGTTGGCTTTTGAGAGTGATTTTTCTTCTTTTGTTTTAATGGTTTCTACTTTTCTCTGGTCTTCTCCTTTGAGTGACTCTGCTCAGCCATTAGCTCATTCTTTTTCCCCAATGGGCTTCCCTTATGTTGGTGATATATCTGTTGATTATCAAGGGCCGTTAAGGGACTGGAGAGAGGTCAAGTTCCCTAGTGAAGACCGGCAACTTTTTAGGTGCACGTGACCAGGCAAAGCCACCAGTAAATGCATATGGAGACCACATCCCTCTTCTTTGTACACACATAACTCAGATTTGTAGTTAACAATTAGACAAGAGAGAGGGATGTTTTTTCTTCACCTTTGCTTCTTCTTAAAGAATCTCATCTGGAATATAACTATAAATCTTTTCTGTCCTTCTTGTGATTTGTTTTGAGCCCTTAATAAAAATCTCTTCATGAGGTCATTTTTTGGCACAACTTCCTCAGCCATTCCCCCACACTGCCACTTACCAGCCCTTCTCCTTAACCCCTCTGAGTCTTTTTTTGTTTGTTTGTTCAATTCTAAAATAGGGCCATAAGGAGCTCTGGTAGCGTAGCCATTACGAGTCGAGCTGCTAACCTCAAGGTCAGCAGTTCGAAACTACCAGTGTTTCCACGGGAGAAAGATGAGGCATTCTGCTCCCATAAAGATTTACAGCCTCGAAAACCCTGTGCAGGGTTGCTATGAGTTGGAACTGAATCCACAGAACAACAACAACAACAAAATAGGGGCATAGTGTCTATGTCATACAGTTGTTTGATTCAAGATGAACACCTTTTAAAGCACACAGCCATCTTTTGTGGCCTATAGAAGTGCTTTATAAGTATTAGTTTCCATTATAGGTATGGGCATCAAAATAATCTAGAACACTCATATGTTTTTAAATGTCCTCTATGTAGACAAGAAGTGAATAATAATAAAGACCCTTGGTTGCAAAGTACATCTAATGTAAAACCTGTCAAAATTAGCTCTTAATTTTCGTGACAAGCCACATACAACTTGATGGCACCTAACAACAACAACAGGGAATAACAACAACATCTGAGAGCTTTGGGGGACCCTCAAGTAATTTGAGGCATGAGAAGAGCTACCTGATCTTTTCTCCTTCAGAAGATTTTTCTGGAAGGGTAAACCCAGTTATCATTGTTTTACAATGTTCTACATAAGATGTTGGACTCCTGGAGTGGCGCTATAGTATAAGAACTGGACTGATAACCACAAGGTCCATGATTCAAACCTACCAGGTGTTTCTCGGTAATCCTTTTGCAGAGGTGGGGAGCCTTTTTTTTTTTTTTTTGCCAAAGTTTATAGCATCATTCGTGGGCCATACAAAATTATCAGCTTAAAATTAGCCTGCTATATTTGGTCAAACATTTAATTACCTCACCCCTAATTTGAAGGTTGGAACTGTGGTTCCCTTGGTAGGACCAGACGAAACGATTTTGCAGGCGTTATTATGACCTTCAAGGAGCTCTGGTAGCGTAGTGGCTACGAATCGGGCTGCGAACCTTAAGGTCAGCGGTTCGAAACTACCAGCCGTTCCGCGGGAGAAAGATGAGGCTTTCTACTCCCGTAAAGATTTACACCCTCAGAAACCCTGTACAGGGTCGCTATGGGTCGGAACCGACTCGACGGCACTTAACAACAACATTATGACCTTCAGGCCAGATGTTCCCTACCCCTGCTTTACAGGGTAGCTAAGGAGCTCTGATAGCGTAGTCGTTATGAATCGGGCTACGAACCACAAGGTCAGCAGTTTGAAACTACCAGCTGTTCTGCAGGAGAAAGATGAGGCTTTCTGCTCCCATAAAGATTTGCAGCCTCGGAAACCTGTACAGGGTCGCTATGAGTCGGAACCGACTCCACAGCACACAACAACAACATGAGTTGAACCAACTTGATGGCACTTAACAACAAAAACAACAAATATCAGGTGTCAGATCTTTGGTGGCTATTTTAAAAATTAATACTTCTTTTCTGAGTTAAAAATTATAAAAAAAAAAAATACAAAAATATCAGCCACAGTACTATCACTCAGCATTTATTATTGTTGATTTGATATACTTCCTTTTTAGTTGTATTTTTATTCATATGTATAGTAAATGTTTAATAATTGGGATTTTATATATATATATATATACACACATATGCATGTGTGTTTTGTTGTTCTTTGTGAGAGTAGGACTTAAAAGAGGGGTCTGAAATTATACTATCTATGTTTTGGACCAGACTGAATGACAAATGTCTAATCTCTCTAAATCTCACTTTTCTTGTCTATAAAATGGAAATAGTAACATTTATTTCTTACAGTTTTTATGAGAATGTTGTAGTTGTTAAGTGCCGTCAAGTTGGTTTCGACCTATAGCGACCCTGTATAGCACTTCCGAGGAGCAGCTGGTGAGTTTGAACCGCCAACCTGCCATTCAAAGTGACTGCAGTCAGGCTCACAGCTCCACACCAAGACTCCGTTATGAAAATAAGTTAAATATTTAAAAAATATCATTATCATGACTATTATATTCCCATGTTATAAAAATGGAATGATTTTTTAAAAGTTGTTGTTGTTGGGTACCATCAAGTTAGTTCCAACTCAATAGGGACTGTATGCACAACACAACTCAATACTGCCTGGTCTGGTACCATCCTCACACTTGTTACTATGTTTGTTGCTGCCATGTGTCAGTCCATGAGGATCTTTCCAACCTTCTACTCTGTTGTTGTTGTTATGTGCCATCAAGTCAGTTCTAAGTCATAGCTGCCTTGTATAGGGTTTCCGAGGAGTGGATGTGAGTTTGAATTGCTGACCTTGTGATTTACACCAATCTTGCGATCCAGTGCTTATCCTCCAGTGCCACACCAGGACCTTCTACTCTAACAAGCATGAGGGCCCTCCCCAGGGACCAGTACCTGAGACATGCCCAAAGTACATGAAACAGTCTCCCTGTGCTCACTTTTAAGGCGCATTCTGACTGTACTGTGTCCAAGACAGATTTGTTCCCTTCTGTTTGGAAGCTTCACTGAAATACATTCACCATGCTGGTATTTGAAATACCTGTGGCATAGCTTCCAGCATCCTAACAACACATAAGCCACCACAGTACAGTAAACTGGCAGACAAATGATGGTTTTAAAAAGTAGTAGGTGCCTAGTCAGATAGAAACTGTTGAAACCCTGAGACTATGGCCATGGTCAACCTTCAGATCTGGAACTGAACTTACTCTGTGGCTCAATTTTCAGTCAAGCAATAGATAGGTATATAGATGGGACACAACACTAGTGAGGCATACACACCATAGAATGGTCAACCATTCAAGATCAAAAGGGAAGCATCTACTCATGGACAAAGTTCAGAAAGGTTGAGAAAGAAGGAGAAACAGGAACAAGAAACACAGGGAGGAAGTGGATTAAGTGATGTTACATTGAGGAGACTGCAATCATTGAGATGAAACAAAGTGCACGATTTGGTGTTTGTAAAACTAATGGTCTGCTCTGTAAACCTTTACCCAATTTGCAATGAGAATTTAAAAATAAAAGTAGTATATGACTATTGTGAAAACATCAAGAAATACACAGAGCATAAAAAGAACATTATCAGTCAAAATTCTACCACCCAGATAATAGAAAACCACTTTTTATATATTCCCTTCAATTAACTTATGTATGACGCTTATATAGAGAGCTCTGGTAGCATGTTGTTGTTGTTGTTGTTAAGTGCCGTTGAGTCGGTTCCGACCCATAGCGACCCTGTACAGGATTTCCGAGGGTGTAAATCTTTACGGGAGTAGAAAGCCTCATCTTTCTCCCGCGGAGCGGCTGGTAGTTTCGAACCGCTGACCTTAAGGTTCGCAGCCCGATTCGTAACCACTACGCTACCAGAGCTCCCTGGTAGCATAGTGGTTACAAATTGGGCTGCGAACTGCAAGGTCAGCAGTTCGAAACTATCAGCAGTTCCGCAGGAGAAAGATGAGGCGTTCTGCTCCCGTAAAGATTTACAGCCTTGGAAACCCTGTACAGGGTCGCTATGAGTCGGAACTGACTCCACGGCACACAGCTATATATATGTATATACATACTTTTTTGAAGAGCAATTTAAATATTTACTGTTTTCTCAAAAGCAAAAACTTATTTAAAATGTTTTTCTTTAATTGTTTTGTTAATTTGATATAGATTGCAACTGAATGTAAACCTCTTGTGAAGCTTACCCCAAAACAACCTTATGCTAGCTCTTGATTCTTTCGTATTTTATTTTCCATCCTATATTTTCACATAGATGAAATCATGTTGTATATAGAATTTTGAATTCTAACTTTTTAACTTAATATAAGCATTTTTCCAATATAATTAAAAGTTTTTTAGATAATACTATCCTATACTTTTTTTAATTTTAGAAAAAATACTCCAAATATTTGAAAAACTTTGCTGTCTTCAACCTATTTCAGAACCTCTCAGTTTCATGTGCTGTGGGAACCTAGCCTGATTCATTTATTTTCTCCCCCTCTGTAGAACAAAGGTCGAAAAGTAGAGCCCATCTCACATCGAAGACTAAGAATGGTGACAAATACAATTGAAGAAAATTTTCCCCTGGGGACCGTGCAGTTTTTGATGGACTTTGTGTCACCTCAGCATTACCCACCCAAAGAAATTGTGGCTCACATCATTCAGAAAATCTTGCTGAACGACACTGAGACCGTGGATGTCCTGAAGGAGGCCTACATGCTCCTCATGAAAATTCAACAGTATGAACCTTCCCAGCCAGCTGTTGGCAAATCTTCCAGGGAACTTGGACTCCGGAGCACTGCTTTCTCTTGCCTAAGCTATATACGGCTAACCCTTGGAGGCTGGTTTAGTCTATTAGTACAGTTTGAGTCACAAGTGACAGAAAATTCAGTCCAAAGTGGCTTTATTGTTGTTAAGTACTGTCGAGTCAGCTCTGACTCATAGCAACCCTGTATGGTGTTTCCAAGGAGCAGCTGGTGGGTTTGAACTGCCGACTTTGCAGTTATCAGTCCAGTGCTGCTTGTGTTACTAGAAACCGTAGTATCTGATATGACTTGGCTCAGTACTTAGAACAGTCACCAGGATCCATATTTTAGCTCTGTTTTGACTCTATTTACAGGTTCCACTAGGTAGCCCCCAAGTTCCAGGTTTTTATGACACTCCTAATGGAGGAGTCCACTTCCCTGATAGTTTCACAAGAGTTCTGAAATTGAATCCTGTAGCCTTTGCTTGGCCTAACATGAGACATGTGCCCATCTGCCACTGTGAACTGAGGGGGTAAACAGTCATGATGAGCTCAACAGGATACTTGCTTCACCCAGGGTCCTAGTAGGTAACACCAGTTGCACATGGGCTAAAACTGATAAAGTTGGTTTGAAGAAAAATTGAGGAGCTCTGGTAGCATACTGATTACAAATCAGGCTGCTAATCTCAAGGTCTGCAGTTCGAAACTACCAGTGGTTCCATGGGAGAAAGATGAGGCTTTCTGCTCCTGTAAAGAATTACAGCCTCAGAAACCCTATACAGGGTCTCTGTGAGTCAGAACCGACTCCACAGCACATAACCACCCCCACCAATGCCTCCAAAAATGGGAGTGTATACTGGGTAGTAAAGAGCAAAGAAGTCCCACTCAAGCTAGATTGAGGTAGTATGGTACCAGAGAGTGGACAAGAGCACTGAGGATAAAATAATTCTTCCTTTGATGATCATCCAGACCCCATCCCTTCTTCCTTCAAATTCTGGCGTTCTAATTGATTTCACTTGACTTCCAGGCTACATCCAGCCAGTGCCAAGACAGTGGAGTGGGACTGGAAGCTGCTCTCCTATGTCATGGAAGAAGAGGTAACAACATAACTACTGTGAGAGTGTGTCTTTTACAGTGGAAATAGTAACTAGAAACAACAATGACACCTAAGATGGTAGCAAAGGTTATTACTATATCCCTATGTAATTAAAGTCACTATATTCCCTCCTTATATGCCTGCTTTCACCAAAGGGAATACAAATCCTATTAGTGTATTTCATGGTTTATAGGGTATCCCTCAGAATATATGTTCACTGTACTAGGCCATGATTCTCAGTGTTTGGCAACTAGGTAATAATGGAATGTGGTAGGTATGTGAAGATCCCCTATGGTATGACTGAATGTGATCAACCAGGAAGTGGGTTAAAGGTGGGATGCGACACTTTAATCCCCTCACAGCCCTGATCTGATTTAAGGGAAGTTTCTCTGGGGTGTAACCTGCAACACCTTTTGTCTTACAAGAATGAAGTGAGCAAAAAGAGAGGGGCCTGCTACCACCAAGAAAGAAGAGCCAGGAGTGGAGTGCTTCCTTTTGATCTGAGGTCTCTGCACTGTGAAACTCCTAAATCCAAAGGAAGATTGAAGCCAAGATAAATGGCGAATGCCAGGCCTGTTACAGATACTAACAGGAGACAAGGACTTTTCCTCAGAGCCAGCAGAGAGAGAAAGTGTTCTTCTAGAACCAACACTCTGGATTTGGACTTTTAGTCTTCCAAACTATGAGAAGTTAAATGGTTTGTTAAAGCCATCCCACTTGTAGTATTTCTGTTAGGGCAGCACTAGATAACTAAGGCAAAGTGCTTTGTGCCATCTTCCAGTATGAGATGAAATATATTCACTTATCCCCTCTTCCTTTTAATATTTTTAAAGAGTTTTAAAGATCTTGAGGTGCCATTAAAAATAAAACTAAATGAATAGAGAACATTATACATCCATAACAAGGAAAATGAGGACAATAGATTTGAAAAGAGATTCAGAAGGCCTAGAGGAAATGTGCGTGAGATAACTGATGAAGCTGGGCAGAGGAAGCCGCAGGCTAGAATCCATGAAGAGAGGCTGCAACCATGAGGGGAGAAAATCTGCCCTTTCGAACACCAGGTAGACTTTGGACTGAGAGACAGAATATATACTAGAGGACAGAGTGAGATATGGGCTATAAATGGATATGTGTTGAACGTCTGTTCTTGGAACAGTCACCTCTCCCTTATTTATTTTTTATCGTGATTTGGGTGAAAGTTTACAGGGAAATAAGATTTTCCGTTCAACATTTCATACAGTTTGATTCATGATAGGATTGCAATCCTCACAGCACTTTCCCTGCTTCCTCTCTGTGTTTACTATTTCCCTTCATCCTTTCCTGTCCCTTCCTGCCTTCTGAGCTGTATCCCAGGCAAATGCTGCCCTTTTGATCTCATAAGGTTGATTGTTCTAACGAGTGTGTCCCTTGCTGGCGTTATTGCTCACTTTATGGGCCTATCAGTTGGCTGAAAGTTGAACCATGGGCATGAGTTCAATTCCAGGCGTAAGGGGCATCAAAGGGTCACAATCCTGGGGACTCAACCATTCTCTGTCATCATGACTATCTTTGCATGTGTCATTATTTTCAATAAACGTGTAGTAGTCTACCATAGGATTGTGCTTTCATTTAGGCTATACCTATTGTTAGAAACTTCTCTATTAATTTGATCAGACCAGATTCTGTATGGAGTCTTTAGTGATCCTGCTTCACAAAATTAAGGTGGCATTTCCCAAAGCAGCCTTCTCTGTCTGGTTCTCTGGCATTCTTGAGTTTTTGGTCTTATTTTAGGAACGTTACTCTTGTTCTTTTTGTTGTTAAGTGCCATCATCAGTTCCAACTCACAGTGACCTTGTATGGGACTTCCAAGGGGCGGCTGGTGAGTTTGAACCGCCAACCATGTGGTCCAAACCGACTTTGAGGTCTAGTACTTTATCCTACAGTGCCACACCAGGACTCCTAGTTAATCAAAATAGTACCAGAAAAGTATTTTCCCTTTATGAACCTCTCTCCTCTTAAGGACAGAAAATCCAGTACCTATTATAAAAGCAGACCATCAGAACCTGTCTAACTTTGTTGTTGTTGTTGTTAGGTGTCATCGAGTCGATTCCGACCCATAGTGAACCTGTATAGGGTTACTGTGGAGCAGCTGGTGAGCTTGAACCGCTGACCTTGCAGTTCAAACAGCTTTGCAGTCTGGCGCATTAACCCACAGCGCCACACCAGGACTTTTAGGGAGAGATGGCCAAACAGCACTCACAAACCATACTTACAATTAATTGGTTTATTAAGGAAGTACAATTGGGGATCAGTTAGGATCATTTCACCTATAACAGAAAACCCATCTCAGACTTGCTTAAACAATAAGGGTATGTGTCAGCTCTCATTGTTGCAAGTTCAACAGTGGGGTAGACATCATTATTACTTGGTCTAGCAGTTCAGTAATGACATTAAAAGTCTAGTTTCCTTTTGTTGCTCTTCTGCTGTCTCTGTGGGCAGTGTTTGCTTTATCCTAAGGCTAATAGTTCAGTGTGAGAAAGCGACGCTGACTTCCCACGGCTTTTCAGATGGATGAATCTTCACTCAGAGAATCTTACAGACCTCTGATTCGAGATGAGCTGTTGGGAATATTAATTATATGCAGACGCCTCTATCATTTGAGTAGAGAGCTATTTCGGACTTCCATTATCTTACAGGGTGTGGAGAGCTTGCTGACTAGGCAGTAGGTGAGGGAATAGTGAAAAGAAAAGGACTTCAAAACCTTAGCCAAACCAGTTGCCACCGAGGAGGCCCTGTATGGTCAAGGGAATTGTGCTCATTCAGGTTTTCATGACGGATTTTTCTAAAGTAGATCACCAGGCCTTTCTTCCAAGGCAGTACTGGGTGGAAGTGAACACCAACTTTTGGTTAGTAGCTGAGCTCATTAACCATTTGCACCAGCCAAGGAGTCCTCTGGAACCTTTGTGAGATATGATGCTTTGAGCAGTTACCCTGTTTGCCCTCGTTGGTCATGCCCCAGCCTATCTGCGCTCTCCTATGTGCCTTTCCTTCAGGAATAGCCATACTTGTTCACTGTGGCCCTCCCTTGGACTTAGTTCTTCTGAGAGCCAAAACTCACTGACATCCAGGGGAGGAAATACTGATTTCTCATTCTTTTTCCTGACAGGGACAAAATCTGCCAGGGCGAGTCCTGTTTCTGCGATATGTAGTGCAGACCCTGGAAGATGACTTCCAGCAGATTCTGAGGAGGCAACGCCAGCACCTGCAGCAATCCATTGCAAGTAGTGTGCTGTCCTGTGACAAGCAGCCCCGCAATGTCAGGTAACCAGCCACCTGAATCCTAGAATGGTTAGAGGTCGGAGTTACAGGTGGGCAGCTACTGAGTAGAAGCTGTGTGTTCAGGTTCTTGCTTGAGGACCAGAGTACATCAGATGGATGAGATTTTTTTAGTCGCTAGATAGTGTAACAGGATAATCACTGAAACTGTTGTTGTTAAGTGCCATTGAGTTCGGTTCTGACTCATAGTGAGCCCTCATAGAGTTTCCAAAGGGCACCTGGTGGGTTTGAACTTTAGACCTTGTGGTTCACAGTCCAGTGCTTTTCCTACAGTGCCACACCAGGAGTAGACAGTCCTCAAAGAAACCCTTTTTCTGTATCACCTATGAGTCAGGCACCATAGCTTGAATAATGTTTCCCACAAAACCATTAGATTTCCTTTAGTTTATTTCATTATTGTCCAAGCAAACCTGGTGTAGTACACATGGGAAACCTTAACTTGTGTAAAATGTTTTATAGATTTTATAAGCTTGAATTGCTTTCCAGCCCCCTGAGTTACTCAAGATAAATCTCTTTTGATTTTAGAGTCTCATTTGTCGCCGTTAGTTTCTGAAAAGTAATGTTATAATAGCCCATGTGGCTGACCAGATGAACAATAGGGAATCAAGCATGCTTTCTTCCTTATGAAATCAGAGTTAGAACTTCTGGAGGCTTCAGACCATGGAACTCCTATATCCTTAGATCAAAGGGAAAAGATGTGATCTCTCTACAATGGGGATTTCAGGCTGGAATTTTCCTCTTAGAATATAAGGAGGGATTACAGTGAATTTAATTACATATGGATATAGTAATAATCTTTGCTACCGTCTTAGCTTGCATTATGAAAAAGAACAGATTTTTTTCTCCACTGATTGAGGACAAACTTGAGGTCCTGACTTGCATTTAGAAGCCAAAAACACCCCAAAATGACTATCATTAAACCCAAGAATCGCATTCACTATAGTGAAAGGCTCACATGAGAAGTGGAAATGAGACCATTATATTTATATTTGTGCTATTTGTGGATTCGCTACTGATTTTCTATCCCTACAACCATTAACATTTAAATTTTACATAAATTTGTCACATATAGACAAATGAATAGGTACATGCAATCTAAGAGGAAGAAATTGGCCAATGGCCAAGACAGAAGGAAATGGCCCCCTTTTTAATTTGTTGTTGTTGTTGTTAGGTGCCATCAAGTTGGTACCGACTCATACCAACCCTATGTACAACAGAACGAAACACTGCCCAGTCTTCGGCCAACCTCACAATTGTTGCCACACTCAAGTCCATTGATTCTGCCACTTTGCCAATCCATCTCGCTAGGGGTCTTCCTCTTTTTCTCTGACCCTCCACCTTACCAAACATGATATCCTTCTCCAGTGACTGGTCTCTCCTGACAATATGTCCCAAGTATGAGAGACGAAGTTTCTTTTTTTAATTTAGAGGTGTAAAAATAGTTAATATCCCATACTGACTTCTGTCTATACATATATAAGAGCCCATGGGCATGTCATTTGAGTGGAAGGATTCAATAAGTCTCTTAAAGGATGCTGGTATATTGTGCTGGTAAAAGCCATTCCCCACAAAACTCAAGAGATGTGGTTCCAAGAGAAAAAAATCTGTTCTTGTTCATTAAGAGAGAGATGCTAGATAGGTATCCCAGCTCATCAAACAAAACCTATGCAATGTATTGAATGTAAATTATATCTCAAAGGTGATTTTTGAAAGCGATTTATTTTGTTGTGGTTGAGAACATACACAGCAAAACATATATAGTAACACTGATTACATTTTTTAACTAGTCCCCAATAGCTCCTCCGCCATTTACTTAAACTCACTGCCCACTAAGGTTCCTATCTAATCTTTCAAGTTGTTTTTTATCATTTTGATCCCATTTAAATAGCTCTTGAAAGAGCAAAGAGCTCAAAGCAGACATTTAAAGGTGCTTTTTTTTTTTTTAAAGAGAGAGAGCAAGTCAGTCTCCATAGGACATCACCTTTGCTTTATTTGTTTTTTTCTTTTTATTGTGAATTGGGTGAATGTTTACAGAGGTTTTCCATTCAACAGATCGTATGCATTTTGTTTCATCTCACTGATCTCAATTATGAAAAAAATGTGGCACCAGTCATTCCTAATTTAGCTGGGTTCAGTAATTTGTTGCAGTGGTCACACGGACTCAGACAGCATATTCACAGTGATAGGGCTTATTAGGGAAGTGAACAGGTTACAATGCAGGGTCAGAAATGCTCAGGGCATTGTTGTTCTGGTCAGGACAGCCTCTCCTCAGCCATGCCCACAGACAGGCTTCCTTCTGCTCAGCCAATGTTACAGAGCTTTGTTAGGGCTGCTGGTAGATGCTCACAGGATACACCATTCCACCATAAGCCTCAGCCTGAAGACATTTAGCTCTTGCTTCATGGGTCAGCAAACCTAGATCTCCCATTTTAAGTGCCTGGAGGTACTCCACTCTATAAGTGTACCTCCTGCCCAAAGTCACTCAGCTTTGCTTGCTTCATGGGCTTTGTCTCTTGGATCTACTGCTGTTGCTACTTTGTCACTCCTCTGGTGTCACAGCGTTCTGTCTGTGGATTGAGAAAGTTCAATGCACTGGGATCATGGGGTCCAAAGGACATGCTCCATTCCTGACTCTACTGCTTTGATGGTAGTAAGATCCCCTCTCCTGCTTCGGAGATGGCTCATTTATACACACGAGAGTTCCAACTTTTTACAATCACAATGAACTTTACTAAACACTCACATGTGAATCATATAATTCTACCAGCATCTTCTCTCACCTTCACTTAGCCAGACGCAGCAAGGAAAGCTGTTTGGTAAGAGTTACAGACTTTGGCTAGGAGAGATATTTAATAATTCACTACACCACAAATCCCTACAATGTAACCTCAGTTACCCAACTTCCACCCTTTGTTTCCTTTTTTCATTCCTCTTTCCTAATATTTCTGAACTTGGATCTCAGCTAAATGCTGCTCTTTTCATCTCAAATGGTTGATTCTTCTAAGGTATGTAGCTCCCTAGTGTTATTGTTCCCCTTATGTTGTTATTGTTGTTAAATGCACCTTATAAACCTGTCTATTGTTTGGCTGAAAATTGAGTCATGGGGGTGAGTTAATTCCAGACCTGAAAGGTAGTCAGTAGTCTCAGGGGTTCCAACAATTTCTATCTGACTATTAAATCTGGCCATTTTTATGATTTTGAGTTTTGTTCTACATTTTTCTCCCACTATATTCAGGACTTTCTGATGTGATCCCTTTCAGAGCAGTTGGTAGCGGTAGTCAGGCACCACCTAGTTCTTCTGGTCTCAGGGTCATAGAGACTGATGTTTCCATGGTGCATTAGACCATTGGAATGATTTTTTTCCATGAATCTTTGATTTTCTTCACTCTTCTTTACTCCAAACAGAGACAAACAATTGCACCTTACATGACTGCTTGCACCTGAGCTTTTAAGAGCCACGTGACTACTCACCAAAGAAGACTGTAGAATATTGTCTTTGTAGTCTATTATGCTAACTGACCTCGGCCTTCCCTGAGGCTGTGGTCCTGAGCCCACAGACCCAACGATTCATGCCTTCAAGATTATGTCTAAGAAATTTTCATAACTTTGCTCCCTGTATGCTCCACTAAATTCAAAGACATATTTGTTGCAAAGATAAACCCCATGTACAAATTGTTGTTATTATTAGGTGCTGTCAAGTCAGTTCTGACTCATAACAACCCTATGCACAACAGAACAAAGCACCGCCCGGTCCTGAGACATCCTCACAATTTTTTTTTACGCTTGAGACCATTGCTGCTTGCCACTGTGCCAATCCATTTCATTGGGGGGAGGGAGGGGTCTTCCTCTTTTTCACTGACCCTCCACTTTACCAAGCATGATGTCCTTCTCCTGGGTCTGGTCACTCTCGATAACATGTCCAAAATATGAGAGATGAATTCTTGCCATCCTGGTTTCTAAGGAGCATTCTGGTTGTACTTCTTCCAACACAGATTTGTTTGATCGTCTAGCAGTCCATGGTACTTTTAATATTCTTCTCCATGTACAAATGTTGTTGTTGTTGTTAGGTGCCATCAAGTTGGTACAGACTCATAGAGACCTTATGCACAGCAGAACGAAACACTGCCCAATCCTGGGCCAGCTTCACTATTGTTGCCACGCTTTAGCCCATTGATGCTGCCATTTTGCCAGTCCATCTCGCTGGGAGTCTTCCTCTGACCCTCTACCTTACTAAACATGATATCCTTCTCCAGTGACTGGTCCCTCCTGACAATATGTCCGAAGTATGAGAGATGAAGTTTGGCCACCATGGCCTCAAAGGAGCACTCTGGCTGCACTTCTTCCAACACAGACCTGTTGGTTCTTTTGGCAGCTCATGGCACTTTCAATATTCTCCTCCAACACCATAACTCAAAAGCATCAATTCTTCTATAGTTTTCTTTATTCACTGTCCAGCTTTCACATGCATATGAGGATATTGAAAATATCATGGCTTGTTCAGGCGCACCCTAGCCTTACAAATAGCCTCTGTCAAATCTCTCTATATTTGTGAGTATACTCCCATTCTCTTTCCTACACCCATTCAGCCTGAATCTCCATCCAGGCATTTATCCTGAGATCACTATTATTGCCTAAATGTATATAAACAGTGTTTACCTCTTGTTGCCTTTAACTCTAGCTCTCCTCCAAGTGTTTTCTCCTGCCTCCCTGATTGTTTTACTGACCTTACTGTGTATTTCTGCTCCCTTCCTCCAAATTAAAATATCTACCATCTAGCTAGTAACTTGCTCTCCCTTCCCCTTCCACTTCTTTTGTTGTTGTCATTAAATGCCATCAAGTTGGTTCCAACTGATAGTGACCTCATATTGGGTTTCCAAGGAGTGACTGGTGGGTTTGAACCACCAACCTTTTGGTTAGCAATCCAGTGCTTATCCTAGAGTACTACACCAGGACTCTTACTCCTGGTAACCAATAAAGAATGTTTC